AAATTTATAATTTAAATCAAACAATAAACTTTTAATCCACAAATCATTTAACTTAAGGGCACATTCATGTGACTTTTGAGGGAAAGGCTAAGTTATTTTAGAGTGAAACATCTTACATCGAACTGATAACCTTATATGTACACCCAAAAAATAGCAAGTAGATTAGGCCTCGAAAACAAATTCTTGGAAAACAAATCACGCCGAATTTTTTTGCGTTCGACAGGTTTACTTTACAAATTCTTGCCAACAAATGTGGGGGTGTTTAAACCAACCTTTTATAATTTTTATACATCAGATTTGAGGTGAAAAAGTACTATTTATCATACAGACCTCGGACATAATGCAGTATTTCACAATTTTTCAAGACAAATTGCACTCACTCAATATTCAGGACGATCAATCGTAAAGCGAAACCGTTCAAAAATTTCCAAAATCACCCATATGGCCACATTAACATAGAAGCATTTACATTTTACATACCATCAACAAAAGGAAATGAGAAAAAAAGCAAACAAACAAACAAACCAAAAAAAAGCCCGGTCGAGACATAGTGTTGAATTCATAAATTACTTTACTTACGTAAAGTTAGACGCATATGCGGGACACCCCTTCAGCTTCGAGCTTACAAATGTCAAAAATTTCTTCCATTTCTTAAATTGTGAGGTTAGTTTGTTCCGCCTGTTCGCTATTGTCTTTTCTACGTGATAAAGTGCCTTGGTTTTGGCTTTAAAAACTTGTATAGACGGATATGTATTATTCAATTTACACTTATAGATAAACAATTTAGTTACTAGAATCAGATGATTGAGAATGAAAAAATCATCTCCAGTGCTATAAACTCCAAAATAAATATCCGTTATCGTAAAAGAATGTAGGTGATCTGCAATCGGTGTCTTTAACAGTTCCCCTTTAGTTCTTTCTACAAATTTTTGATAACCCAACGGTTCGGATGATCTCATTTGACTTATTTTCTGAGATTCATTTTCTAGTAAGAACTTACATTTCCCAACGCCTCCTGGTTGCTTTCTGCTTCAAGGTCGATGACAATGGCGTTCTCGTTATTGTTGGTATATCTGCCGCAGACTGTTACATTGACATCTCCATTACTGACAGTATCTACTTCAATGCGTTTGGCTGTAACCTCTGTCTCTTCTAGATTCGAATTTCTCTTCATTGGAAGGTGATCTTCCTTTCCTTAAAAAGAAGTGATCTCCATTATACCGTTACCCAAAACTTCAGGGTTAGGTTATCTTAAGGGAAGATACCCCACGCGTCACTTTGAACAACTAAGCCCAGAATTCTAGCAATATTAGAGCATTCTAGCAGGATAATGCACCCTCCCTTTTTTCACTATAGCTACAATTATTATTCAGCTTACAAATCGACGACCTTATCTGAACACGACGAAGCAAGTTATGAAAATTTTACGCAGAATTAAAACACTTTTCTGAAAAGCTGAAGAATTTTGTTTTTTCTTCTAACCTGTAACTGGCGTTAACCAGGCCACACTTCCTGAAATTCCTGTCCCGAGATTCCCGAAATGTAGAGTCGTTTCAGAATCCACTGGGCAAGCAGTGTACAAGATTGAGGACTGCAGTCCGGTGTCACTAGTAAGAGACCATTACAATTCCCTCCAACGTCTTCAGAAACAAGATGAGTGTCAATCAAGAACAGAGCATCTTTGTGCTTTCTCACTGGGAATATGTACGGGCGGCATGTGTAAATGGCAACAGCAGTTTCACTCTGATCTAACTTCTGTGTTAAAGCACTGATAAGCTCAATTTTCCCATCATCCGAAAACACGGTGTTTGAAGATATGCATTCTTCTGATAGCTCATAATCGGAAGACAAGGGCTTCAGTTATTTCAGTATCACTTTTGCCTCAGACGCGTCGTAATACTGATCACATTTTCTGTGTTTGTTGATCTGCCTTGGAAGATTCACAATGACGTCCTCAGCGATTTCTTTGACGTTATCCCACTGAACATCTCTTTTCTCTTTTACCTAAAAATAGCGATATCATTATTATCTCTAAAGAAATATAAAGTTTTATTGTATACTCAAGGTCTAAGATATAATCGTGTTTTTATCAGGGGCGGACGGAGAATTTTGTGAAAGACGGGGCCTAGAGATATAGTATACACCCGGTAAACAGTGGCAAAATAGGCGCGATAGCGCCCATCAAGACTGTGAACGGCGCACTTTTCTGGGAAGTTTCCGGCGCATGCTCTTCTGGGAAAATTTTTGAGATTGAAGTTCTCTGAGTTTCGAATGTAGTGCATCCTGGACGCTTAAATTTAGCAAATGCCTGGATTCCGTATGGAACATGTAATGCTGAAATATTAAATAAACCAAAAGGTGTGGTTGTGGTCAAAGAAGTAATTAACACTTTATGATGCTAACAGTGGCCGAAGCGATTGCGGCGAGAGCACATGCAACCTCCCAGCAAAGGCGGAAATATTGTCTTTCTGAAAAATTCTCAAATCCAGTTTGTTTGAGACGGATATTTACTGCATGCATTCTGAGAGCTTTGGCTATTTGCGACTAAAAAATAGATTTAAGTAACAAAGCTCGAAATACCATCCGACACACGGTTACAAAAGAAAAGAAAATTTCCGGACAAAAGGGGGAGGGGGGGCGGGACCCACTGGGCCCACCCCTAAATCCGCCCTTGTTTATACTACTGGGTTAAGATAACCCAGGGTAAGTGGGAAATTTGAACACAGATATGAGAGCTTAAAAAGCAAATTCAGTTTTATTCTATTTGCCTTCAATTTGATGATTGGATACTTTAAAAAGAATAGAGAAAATTATCCGAGAAAGTGCTTTTGATAAAAGAAAATGAAACCCGGATTAAAATTTAACCCCGGGTTAGCGCTAACCGGTGTTCGAACAACTGGGCCCTGAACGCTAAAGTACATTTAAACTGACTTAGCTTGACTTGGGCTAAGGCGGACTTAGTGTGTAGTGTGAACACACTAAATTATTCCTTGAAATCTCAGACATGTGGCAACCACCGCATCCGTAGCCCGCCCCACCTAAGCAAATGCACGCCAGACACCACCCCCCCCCCCCCCCCCCCCCCCCCCCCCCCCCAAAAAAAAAACAAAAAAAAAAAAAAAAGAGGAATACCACCCAAAAAAAAAAAAAATAAAAAAAAAACCACACAAAAAAAAATTTAATTCCCCCCCTTTAAATTTGGCCCCAAAAAAATCAATAACACAAAAAAAAAACCGGTGTTTCATCTCTTTTTTTTTTTTGTTTGGGAGTTTGTTTTCTCACAAAATTCACTAC